GGCCAGGAGCCCCTAGTAGCGTCCTTGCTCCTAGTAGTACGGCCAGGAGCCCCTAGTAGCGTTCTTGCTCCTAGTGGCGATGCCCTGTGCTCCTAGTTCCATCTATGGACCTCTTTTTTTCCGTTTCCAACTTCATCGCCAGGGCTGGAAGGGCCATCCAGCAACCGGTCACGACCGGCTACAGCGTGCACCGCTGTTCGGGCAGAGCCGCACAGCGCAGAGCACAAAGCATCGACGGACGCGGAGCACATGTGCCGCACGGTGGCACATCGCCACGAAGTGTTTGGGCGTTGCTGCTGGAATTGGATTCTGGGCAGCATGTGGCACACTTTGACTTGAAGGTCTTTCTTATCCTAACTACAGTGAATCAAAGGGCTGGAATCAGAATGAGTATATGATATTCTGGATGCTGATAGCTGTTAGACTTATTTTGGCCTTGAAGATCGAGGCAGATGGCCGCTGCTGGGTCTTGTTGGGCTTCGGCTTGCTGCTGGCATCTGAGCAGACAAGGAAGTTGAGTGAGCGACTACTGTCACAATGTGTCCCTTCAAATCTCAAGACTAGTTTGGACATCCCAAGTTCTTTTGAAAGACAGCATAGTAAAAGGGAAAGGTGAAAGAAAAGAAAGACACAAGAGGCATATTCAGAAGCATTCTAGTTTCTAGCAAAGGGCCCGCCAAATCCGAGGTTGGAAGCAGCAAGACCGTGGGTTTTTTGGCTCCATTCGCCATGCGGAAAGCCGTGAATTTCCTGAGCCGCTGCGACACTTGGATAGCACAACACTCGAGACGTATTCTGCTGCATAGCGTCCTTGCTCCTAGTAGTACGGCCAGGAGCCCCTAGTAGCATCCTTGCTCCTATGCTGCCATGGGCCGAGGCTTCCGGGGCCAGGTGTAGAGTGCTCATGCAATTGGGATGCTTGTAATATAAAAATGTCCCCAAGGACCTACAGGGACTCACTTGGCTGCTGATTTTTGCTGCACTCAAAGGCATGGCATTGGGGATGGTGTGAGTGAAGTCACCGCCGGCCATCAGTCCACTCTTCCGTTGAGATGCGTGCCATGTTCTTGTTTTATCGGCTTGTCTATTGTAGCTCACGGAGCAAGGTACGCCTTAAGGGTTGTTTGGCGGTAGATCCAAAATGATCCAAGCAATTCTGAGCACCACTTCATCATTGCATGCCTCCCTGCATCAACTTTGTTCAGCGCGCCAGGCCTGAGTCAAGCGCTGAACAACAGCAAGACAGCCCCCCAAGCCTTCATCGCTCGCCCAATGGGTAGGCTGCAGCAAGATATTTTCAGCTGTGGGGGAGGTTGCGATGGGGCAGAAAAGCAATGATGCAGCAGATGCGTATAGAATGTAAGATAATGCAAATAGTATATATATGTACAAATTAAATGTTATAGCATATTTATATATTCGGGACTTGTTTATGAGGCCAGAACTCAGATTGAGCTTGGAAGTCTTGTCGAGATTCAGGGCCTTCAAGCAATGCACTAACTACTGAATAGGCACGAGCTGACCTACCCGACCCACACAAGCTCTCAAGCAATTCAGAAGTTCAGACGGTTTAGCTCATGCAGGTCAAAACAAATCCGAACAGCGTTGTTTGGAAGAGTTGTGTGGTTTTCATTGGGCAGGCGCTTGGCCCAACGGCTTTTAGCAAAGCTCTTGGCATTGGATTTGCAGCCTCTCGCAGAAAAATCATCCTTTGATTGAGTTCCTTGAGATGTTCCAATCACTGATCAATTGGAATTCGCAACCATGGAAAATACTTGCCTATTTGCACAGAATCAAAGCACTCGATTAGATGTTCGTTGCTCCTTGGTTTCTGGCCGAGTCATGGGGACGTTGCAGTTGGGTGTCTTTGTGAGACGACTCCGGGACGAGTCATGCCCGCGAGAGAGAGAGAGAGAGAAGGAGATGTCCGTTGGCAGTTGGGAATTACCGGGTTTACAGGTTTTGTTTTCATGGATTGTGTTCTCGTTCAGGGTTCAGGTACATCTCTGTATTTGCAACACTTATCAGCACTTGGTGATGCATTCCGAACAAGGTGGAAATTATCAAGTGATTCATCCATTCACTAAAAGTCATGAATTTGCCAAGAGTGTGGTGCAGATGAAGCGAGCAGAGGAAATCAGACCCTTGAGGTTCCATGCCTTGCGCCGGACGGGGGAAGTGCTGCGAAAGCTCGAGCGTCCGCCCCGGGCTGTGCCTTGGACACGTCGCCTCGGGCTCTCCCCTCTCGTGAGCTCTCCGAGCGGCTCTCCCTCATCCCTTCTTCAGATGTCCGTTTGCTGATCCATCTCTTCGTTTCCGCTACTAGGAGCAATGTTTGCTACTAGGGGCTCCTGGCCTTACTACTAGTAACAAGAAGCTACTAGGGGCTCCTGGCATCGCTACTAGGAGCAAGGACGCTACTAGGGGCTCCTGGCCTTACTACTAGGAGAAAGAATGCTTGTATGGCATTGTATGGCCTTGGACCTGGGGCAGCTTGGGGTATGCATTTGGTTCCTGCTTTAGGGAGCTCTCTCGACAGGGGTGTGGCCTCCACGAGTTATTGCAAGTCTTTCTTGTCATCATTAGCCGGGTGTGGTGTTTATTCTGTGGGCACAGACGTGACGGATAGTGGAAGATTTTTATATTTCCCGTGATCTTATCCAAACCAGCTGTGGGACAAGGTAGATACATTGCTGAGAGCTTTGTTATTCACATTAGTGCCCATTGCCTATGAGTCTCGGCTGCTTTTGAGCGCATTGAGTGTGTTGAGGGGAACTGGGTCAAGGGCCAAGTAAGCATGCCGTGCACAGCCACTTTCATTTTGAACAAGGGCTTCAGGCAAGGCACAATTTCAAACTGTTTTTGAGAAACCTAGGAACCAAATGAATAGAAGTGTGCCGTGTACTAGTTACTAGTAGTTTGTTTAGCCCTTACTTACTGTAATTAACTAGGCTCCTACTTAATTAAGTAAGGGCGGCTAACAAAATAAGGATCTTACTTGAAGCCGACCCGAAACGAAACCCAGAGTCAATTCTGTCAGCGATCTCAGGAATCCACTGTGGTCTTTTTCCTGCTCCTCTCCAAAGCAGGCCACCAACCAAAAGCGTGCAGCGCCAGCCAGTAGGCCAGCCTTCTAAAGCCTTTAAAAACGCGAATGACAGAGGCTGCAGAAATCGAGGGATTGTTCTGTAAGACACCTGGAGGCTGTCACTAGTAGGTTGGAGACCATCGCTCTGAGGTTGAAGTAAAGTATAGGAAAGTCTTTTCGTTTGTTCCCTATGACACCTGGACCTCCCCAAACCTCCCAGCATTTTGCAGTTGCCAGGCATAGATGTCGCGGTCACCGTGCTGTGCACTGCAGCGGGCTGAGTTTTGAGTTTTTATGTCAAGATTTGGCAGGGCTGTTTTCGAGCCTTGCCTATGCGCCACCTACATCTAGTCCACTCGAAATCGCCTGAAATTTGCAAGGTTGTGACTTACTTCCTCTTCACAAGCTGGATGAGTGTGGGCTGGGTGGCACGTGCGTCCCTAGAAACTGAAATTATGAATGAGCTGCATCATGTGAAACGTATTTGTGAAGTTTGGTTTCCTATTGTATCCACCATCAGTCTGTCAAACAGGCCTAGATCCGCCTAGCTTCCGACGCATTTGTGGACCGCTGATTGGACCCACTCCAGTCTTCAAAAGCCAGATCAAACTGAATCGATGACCTGGTTCCAAAAATACATGACACTGAAGCCAACTCAAATACAAGTCATCCGCCCCATATGAATATGCAAAACGTCGAAGTGTCAATGTCAGACATTACGGACAAAGCAACCGAAGCCCAGGCGAAAGAAGGAGAACCGCTTCGATGACGCCCAGGCCTCCGAAGCCAACGACGCACTGCTAAACTGTGGCCCGCAGCATTCAGCATTTGTTCTGCTTGAGGAAAAACAAACCATCTTGATTCTTCCAGATTGCCAGGTTTTTAGATTGCCAGGTGCATTAGAAGAGTTGCAAGTGGAAGAAAACTCTCGGCTTGGCTTGCTGAAGAGTGGAGTTTGGATTGATTGGTTGCATGAGCACCTCATGCCACACAGACAGGAACGTTGGCCCAATAAATAGATTGCCAAGCTGTGCTTTACTGTTTAGCTCTTTGTGCGACGGGCCTGGTGAGTCGGTAAGTGCGGTTCTATCACCAAGCGCCACGATGGTAGACTTGGTAGACTGTGCCTCAACACTCAGACAATGGTGAGTTTGAGCACTGAGCCTTCCACCAGAAGATATTACGTTGGAGGCAGTTGCTAGTGGGTTGGAGGCCATTGCTAGTAGGTTGGAGGCCGTTGCTAGCAGTTGGAGGCCATCATAATTTGATATAATTTGGTTGGCTGAGATCAGTTGAGGTGAATCAGTTCGTCTTATGACTGCAGCGCCCCGGGTTCTGCGCCGTTTCGACCGCTTTTGGTGGCAGCTGCAGCAGGGGCAGACTCTTGTCCCTCTTGGCCACTGAAGCAACATGCGAAGCAGCATTTGACTACATTCAATGTAATTCGTGACATTCAACTACATGAACATATTTGAATAGTTGTGTGAATATTATATTTGATGTAGTTATTCATGACTCGAGGGAAGTCTTGCAAGCTTGTGACAAGTCTTGCTGGACGTGTGAACAGCTTCACATATTCACCAATGTTGTTTGAGGATTTCCTCGGACCTGGCAGCGACGGTGCTTGCCGGTGGCCAGCAGGTCCGAGTCGCAGCTCCACCGGGGAACCGGGTTGAACTCTGAGAACGCTAGAAAATCATCACCATGACCTACAAATAGTCATTACATAATATCGTAAATTGTATGCAATAGTCATCACATGTAGTCACATAGTATAGTCATAAAGTCACTTCTAAGACTCAACGGCAAAAGTTGCCCAGGCCATCACTGCGCTGGGAATGGGTGTGGCTTTGCTCCTGGTGGCACGCCGGGTGGTCACAGGCTCCGCCTCAGTGGGCGATGTACCCATGGTGCAAGGCGAGAAGCGAAAGAAGCAAAAGAAGCGAAAGAAGGGAACCGAAAACTAGAAGCAATGGCCTCCAATCTAAGAGCAATGGCCTCGAAGGGAACCGGAAACTGGTACATAGTGCATATTAGTGCATACGGTTACCAGTCATGTAAATTCAGTGTGTGTTGGGTTCTTTAGGTCTCCCCTTTCTAGAATGTAGACCGCGCGTCCACTTGCATAGAACTAGACAGAACATAGGTGCTCATGGCGCCTAATGGCATCCGTGGAATTAACCAAGATCACGGGCTTCTCTGCTTCGTTTACTTTATGTGCTCAGCAAATGTTGTGCATGTTTTTGGACATGGAATTGGCCAACTGAAACAACAACGCTTAGACTAGTACTGTTAGTACTGGTTGGCCCGAAAGTATCCGTCAGTTGTCAGTGCCAAGCCATGTGGCCATAAAGAGTTTTGTTTCATCGACGTTTTTGTTAAGACAGGCTGCCTGGTGCAGAAGATTGCAGAAGTGTTTGAGTGTTTTCAGGGAATCCCTCCAAAGGAGCATCCGCAAACACGTTTCTCTTCGAAACGGACATCGCGAAAAGGCTTGATCTCCCAGCTTTGGGCGCCTTTGCAATTCCTCGGGTTCTACATCCGGTGCCTCGGTTTTTGGCAGATAAGCAATCGTTTGGTTTTCGATCCAGAGGTTGCTTCATGGACTAAAATGTGACGAGCCTCATGATAGCCTCATGGAGCCTCTGCAGACGAAGCTTTGGCTTGTTGAGTGGTAGTTGTAGAACACAGTACCACATCCGCTCAACACAGGCAAGCACGGCAAGCTTTGGTTGACTTGGAAGAGGCTCGGGCTCTTCTTTCCTCAAAGAGGTCTCCTTTGGAGCTCGCAGAAGCAGCTGAGAGGCCAGGACCTAAGGGGGTGTCTATTTGGATTGATCATGTTCGAAGGATACAACCCCACTCTGAGGTTCTTTTTCTCACGCTTCCTAGTGCTATATATATATATAACTGTATAGGATTTTCTATCAAGCAACTTCAAGCAACACACGGGTTTTCTATCCAATCGCATGTGACTCCCTTGGACCAGGGAACTCAGATGAACTCAGTAATGGTTGGGGTTGACCCTGCCCGAGCATTACTTGGCTCGCTGGGAGTGGTGGGGTTTTGTGTCACCATGCCTGGATAGAAAACTGCGTCAGGCCAACACAATCAGAGGAGCTGGTTGCATTGCACAACCTGCCGCCGTGCACGGAGGGATGTCCTTTGGTCGAGTTTCGAGATGTGTGGCTTGGCTGAGTGCTGGTCGATTTGTCGATTCGTAGTGCTAGACTCCAACATCATGAGTCTCGATATGTCTCGATTCGACATTTGGATTCAACATGATTTGGATTCTTGATGTAGTCGCTCACCAGGCTGAACCATTGAGCAAGTGCCAGCATGTCTAGCAGTCTAGCTAGCATAAGCCTGAGAGTGCGTGCAACTTTCATTTGACGCCAGTTGCCTATGTTGGCTGGTCTTGCTGAGTTTGTGCAGTGAGGTGGTTTCGATACGAACGTGGATTGCCATGGGTGCTACAGGGCCTGTCCTTCTGCATTCAGCCAGGACTGTACCTGTTCAGAGATGCTGGCTGGAACGCTTCATTCGAAGTGCACCCAAGGTGCGGGCAGTATGTGCAGGTGCACTTGTTCCCCTGTGTCCATGCCAGCTGTTGGAGTTGACTGCGTTATCCCACCCACTGGAGCTTCCTGGCCTAGGAGACAGCTAGTCCATGCTAGTCCTTGTCTCGCATCAATTCATCTCCTGTGCCTCTTTTGATGTCTCCTCGTTTCGCCTTGTTTCTGTCAGTGTCAGGACTTTAGAGATAGAAAGCCCCGCAGCTCCCTTCGAAGGAGAGTTCTTCGTGATTGTTGGCCCTTCGGGAAGCGGGAAGAGCTCCTTGGGACGCTTGGTGCCAAGACTTTTTGATGCCTGTGAAGGCCTGGGAAGCGTGATGACAGGTTTGACTAGGTTCAGGCCTCAGGCATTGGAAGAAGCAACATGAGGCAAATGAATTACTCCCTCCCTCTCTCTCTCCCGTAATGATTTGTAAAGCAGTGTGAAACACGTGTAAATTAAGGGAAGGCTACACTTTCAACCTCTTTGAGCTTTTCTGACATTCAAGTTCGACAGATTCTGAACAAAAGCACAGTGTTCCTCTTGTTCGAAGGCAGTGTCCTCTTCAATGGCGTGGACGTGCGCCATGTGACCTTGGGTGACCTGCGAGAACGCTTGGCCGTGGTGCCACAGGACTGATGTCCGATTCCGAGAATACCCTGGCTGTGCTAGGATCCTAGTAAAACGGCCACGAGCTACTAGTAGCGTCCTTGCTCCTAGTAGTACGGACAGGAGCCCCGTTCGTAGCGTCCTTGCTCCTTGTAGCGATGCCCTTTGTTCCTAGTAGCGTCCTTGTTTTGATCGAAAGTTCCTTCTTTGTGAGGATGTGGTGGTGTTCAATGCGAGCCTGCGACAGAATCTGTCGATGGCCCGGCCGAAGGCCACCACGGAAGAAATGACCGAGGCTGGGCGAGGGGCTGGTAGTCCGGGAGGGGGCGACCGGGTGTTTATTGAATTTCTCATGCGCTTACAGGGTGTGCGTGTGTGCATGTGTGTGTGTCAAGGGAGTCAGATGGAGTGCCTGCACTGATCTAGCTGGAATGCTTTCTGAGTGACTCACGTGCTCACTTTCCGCAGGCCATTCGCGCAAGCGGACTGGAGAAAGCGCTTCTATCCGGCAGCAGCGGTCTGACCATGCAATCAGTGACTTGGTCCAACAGTCTCGAAAGCACATAATGGTTTGAGATTCTTTCAAGTTCAGTTTGCAGATTCTGACCTTAGCTTTGAAAAACCAGCTTGCTTACACTGTAATAATATGCCGCAATCTTGCTGCACATCTCTCAAGGTCGTTGGCGAGCGTGGGCTCCGTTTGTCGGGTGGTGAGCGGCAACGACTCTCCTTTGCAAGGGCATTGCTGAGAGCACCAGACACGGTGGGGAACATGACATTGGGAGCGCTCATGATGCGAGGAATAAACTAGACGTTCCCTCAGCTCTTACCTTTTGGTGATGTGCCTCTTCAGCCTAGAGAGACGAGTTTTCAGCATGCGGCGGCGGGTCAGGATAATTTTGAACTTGCTTGTGGACCATGCCTGTGGGTCGGCCGGTTTGTGCTCCACAAGTATGACTTTAACTGACAAAGAATTATTTCACACCTGGAGCGATTTCGAGAGAAGCGATGGATAGATCTCTAGCTTCTTGGGCGAATCTGTTGTTGCAGGAGCTGCTGATTCTAGATGAAGCAACCAGCGCTTTGGATGCTGAGACTGGACAATTCCTGCTGCAAAGTTTGCAAGAGTTGCGCCAAGGTGGTGGCAGGACCTTGATGCACATTTAGATGTCAACTCTGGGCTCAGTGATGCTCAGTCCGTAGGTGTGCTTTTCATTGTGCGATAATTCAAGGGTTCTCAAACCGCTAATTATTTAGCTCGATTGCTTGTGCTGATTGGGTTTCTTCACCTGTCTAAGTTCATTGTGCAGGACTCCAGCCATTCTGGCCATCACACACCAGCTACAGATGGCCAAAGAAGCTGATCAAGTGCTGGTGTTACAGGAAGGAAAGGTTAAGGAGACCTGAACATACACCAGTGAGGTCACCAGTGTGGCCTATGGCGTGTGAGCAGAACCAAGGAATTGAGTTTACGGAATCTAGAAAACGCTTTATCAAGATTCACCGATTCACCACTGATTCACGATGACCTTGAGATGGAAAACATACACTCCGCTACGGCAGTGGAGGATAGAGAGATACTCTTTGCAGAGGGTTCAAGGGTTCGATTGGATAGGTTGTTTGCAGATGGCAAGCTGAACAAAGCAACAGAAATGGGATGATGCAGCTTCACACATGCTTGAGTGGAAGAGATTGATTTTACTCCTTCCGTGCACAGGAGCGCGGCAGTCATGAGGAGCTTTTGCAGAGACTTGGTTCTATTGCAGTCTTTTGAGTCTCTTGTTGACAGGATGATGTTTGCCCAAGTCTACATCCTGATATTACGAAGTGCCGATAGTGCACATATTAATATATGATATATGATAATATATGCATATTAGAGAGGGAGAGAGATGAATGTATGTTGCGCCGTATGTATAGAGAGATACCAGGCTGGTCGTATATATAGACCACGGACCCCTGGAACATGCCCACATAGTGTGAAGGAAAGGAGGAGCGTATTGTGATCTTCTGAAAGCAGCCGGTGAGAAGGCGAAACTGGACGAATGACGCTGTGTGACCCGTGCGAAAAGTGTGACCTGTGCTGCACTCTGTGTTGCCCCGTGTTTGGACTTGGAGAGGAAGCTTGAGAGGCGCACACAGAGGTACTGGATCAATTTCATCATTTGTTTGATGTTCGTTGTTCTATGTTGTTCTTGAATTTTGAGAAGTGCCAGTCTGCCAGTGATCAGATCCCGCTGGTAACCGCTGATGTCTTTTTTGTTTCAGGTGAATTGCGAGTAGGCTCAAGATGGCTTGTTGGTATGCTTTATCAACTCGAAGGCCACCACTATTAGGTTGGAGGCCATCGCTGGTAGGTTTGCACTGAGGTTGAGCGCACAGGCTTCACCCAGGCGGAGGGTTCGGGCCGTTGTGCGCGGTGCTGATGTGGGAGGAGGGGCTGAGGAGGGGCTTCGCAGCTCAAACCTCTTATTCTTCAATATTGAAGTTCTGAAGTGTCTGAAGTGCAGCCACCGAGTGGTTGTTTTGTCATGTTTTGTCCGCCAGGTGAGAGAATCCATGCAGTCCATGCTCACACGACTACAGAGTTTGAGCTCGAGCCTTCAGGCGCACAGGGCGCAGCGGCGCACTTCGAAGCCGCAGTGGAACCAGTTAACATTGTTACTAGTAGCGATGCCCTTGTTACTACTAGCTTCTTTCTCCTAGTAGTAGGGCCAGGAGCCCCTGTAGTGTCCTTGCTCCTAGTAGCGATGCCCTTGTTACTAGTAATACTAGTAGCTTCTTGCTACTAGTAGTTCTCAGGTTCGAGCCTTCCAACATCTTCCAACACTTTACAACACCTCAAACACCTTAATGTGATGCGTCAACCAACTTGTTGGGCACCCACTGGGCTCCGGAAAGCCAGCAAACATTATCAAAACTGCTGATGCCTCCGAAGGGGAGTATATAATATAAAGCATCGGCGCTTATGCACCTCGGCGTGCACAAGACACATAAGCATCTTGGTCCTTTCGTCCTAGGATACTTATAGAACTTAACTTTTGTGTTATATGGTCACCTAGGTAAAGCTTTACAGAAACATCATGGACATCAGAAGGACCATGCTTTGGCAAATTGTGACGTGAGAGGGAGGACACTGTACGCAGGCCAGGCAGATGCCCGAGCTGAGCCAAGAGAGCCTCAGTTGAGCTTAGGGGTCAATCAATCGTATTTTGTTTGTTTTTACATTGTTTTTCTAATCTTTCTTTCTGTTCTGTGCGTTTCTTGTTTCATTCTTTTTGATGCTGATTCCATTGGGTCATTGAGCTGACTTGCAGATAGGAAGATGAGTTGCTGAGGCTGTTGGGATTGCAGAGTGACTTGGCACAGGCCCCTTAAGCTTTGCAGAAGTCCAGCGCGATCTAAAATGGTTGAGGTTGCTCCTTTTCAACTTTCAACAGGAGGCAAGACCGAGACCCTCCCACCTCTCCATTGATTCATTTAATCGTTTACGGTTGGATACGCCGCGATTTTGCAGGTCGCTCCATTGGCTGAAGCCACGACCAGGCCTTGGTGACCTTTAGATTCGGGTAACCCTTCGGCGAACGCCTTCGATCAGCTCCATGCAAGTGGATCACGCAAAGGGTAACAAGCACCAAGATGACTTATTGCACTGCGGGTTTTGACGGGACATGACAGGGCCATGACAGGACCATGTGGCCATGTGTTGTGGAGAAGCAGGATGAAGCTTCTCCCCTGGGCGCAGGAGAGATGACATATAGTAGTAACAAGAAGCTAGTAGTAACAAGTGCCTTACTAGTAGTAACAAGAAGCTTGGCCCATTCGGGTCATTTGGTCATCCCTTGGCCCTTGCTGTTCTCGTGCCGAGCTTGCTTCAGGGGCGAGATGGTGGGGGAACTCCAGCGAATCTACAAGGACTGCTTGGTGGAGGCGGGCAAAGGAAAGATCAAGAACACAATAACTGTACTCGTGATGGAAGACAGGGGAGCCACGCATACCAAAATTGCAGGGGTTACTAGCTACATCTAACTACTGTGATCTACAGTAAGCAAATGCTGGCACATGCTGGCGTAAGCTTGCAGTTGGTTATATAATGGGCAATGTAAGTTGATGCATCAACCGACGAAGCTGTGGCTTCCCTGAGGCGACACGAGAAGCTTCCAGCTTTGTGGGCCTGCAGAACGCTTCAGTCCCAGTGGTGCTCGGTCGGACGGTCCTACGTTCCCTGTCAATTGGCACATGCTTCCTTTCTTTCCTGTGCTCTCACGTGGAGAGGTAACATGCCAGGGTGGCCTCCACCCTACTGGCGATAGCCTCTAACCCACTAGCAATGGCCTCCAACCTAAGAGCGATGGCCAAGCAACGTAGACACAGACATTTGTCAGATAGCCGGAAAGGAACAACTGCTCGAGACGCCCGGACGTGGACACATTGCACGAGCAATTTTGTGCAGAACATCATCCAAAGTTCTTTGGCTTCAATGTTGCACGTTGCAGCTCTGCATTTTGTCGGACTTGACCCATGCCCCGGTGTTTCGTGTCCGTGGCGTTGCGACAGCAGAACTTCGCAGTCATTGATGCCGCATCGGGTGTTTCTTGGATGTTGCGAATCGCAATGGTGTCAGTGTCAGGTGGGCGATTCGGTGGCTGGATGCTCAGGAAGGCCTTTTGACATCAGACCCAGTCGCACAAAGACCTCAAAACTCTTGTCGCAGCTCCGGATGCCCAGGGGCGACAAGAGGGAACATATAATAGCGATGGCCTCCAATTTCAGAGTAGAGCGAAAACGCAAAATATAGGAACAAGGACGCTACGTTCGGAGCAAGAAGGCTACGAACGGGGCTCCTGGCATTGCTACTAGGAGCAAGAAGCTATTAGCTTATTGTTTCTACTAGCGAACATTGTTACTACTAGTAAGGCACTTGTTACTACTAGCGGTGGTCCATAGGATTTGGTGCCCGCCCGAGGCCACCCGAGTCAACCGCTACTCAGCACCACGGCTGCCATGCTCTTAGTGGGCACGGCATGGGACAACCAGGTCACTTCTTGGGACAACCTCCAGCTTTCTGAGTTTGGGATCTTGAAAGATTTTCTGAGTTTGCTTCTTTATAAAATTTTTTGGTTTTCTAATCACTCTGTAGTAACATGTAGTAATGTTTGAAGACCCTTGGGTGGCGCCCTCCTTTGAAGTATCGGGATCATCGACCACATCGCACTTGGCAGAGGAATTTCTTTTCAGAGCTCAGTATCTTGAGGCGACTCCTGCTGGAACGCTTGCTCCATCGCGCGGGTATCCGCCTGGACGTGGCGCGAGAAGATCCCACCGTGAGCAGGTTTGGTGTTTGAGTGGGAGGAGTCAGAGCCATCGGATCAATGTGCAAAGAGCCAGACATAGAAGAAATGCACCAGAGGAAGCACTTTAGCCAGCCGTAGAAGAGGGAGGTGGTCGCTAGAGGTAGCTGGTAGAGGCTAGGGAGTCGCTAGTAGCTCACACGTAGCTACTACCGACAGGACGCAGGATAGCTAACGCACTATTCATTTGGTTCCTAGATTTTTAGGGAAACTTAACTAATAGAAATGCGCCGCCTGCACAGAGACAGAGAGGGCTACATATTGACTGGTGCTTCAGTCAGCGAAGTACACGAAACACGATGCTGCCAGGTTGGTGGAATTGTTTATCCGTGCCTGCAGCAACAGCCGCTTGTCGGCCTTGCCCTGATCAAGTCAGTCTTGGGTTTGAGGCACTGCCGCTGATGGCAATGCCGAAGTGTTTTACTGTAATTGGGGTGATAGGGGTGTAGTTTTGAAGTTCAGTAGGCTCAGCAACCAATCATGGCTGCTGTTCAAGCACTACTCGTCCAAACAGCAGTCTTGCTCACGACAATGTTTAGAGGCTGGTTCCAACTTGTGGGTGGCGAATGTTCAAATCATTGCAGGCAGATCCGAAGTGTAGAGACAAGATGCAAGTTAGGTTGGAGGCCCTTGCTGCAAGGTTGGAGCCCATCGCTACCAGGGTGGAGGCCATCGCTAGTAGGTTGGAGACAAGATGCAAGTTAGAAGCATGCGCGCAGAAGGTCGCGTAGAGCTTTCGGTAGGAGGAGACCCCTCAGAAATCAAGGACTCTTCAGTATATCCGCTTTTGCAGCTTTTAGTGTCTCAGACTATTGAAAACTCCCCCATCAATTCATGCCAACTTTAAGATTTGATCTCCTCCACAGGCCCTCCACATTCCAACTCCAATCAGTCCAAGAGCCTTAATTAAGTCGCAAGTCGCATGAAGTAACAAGGGATAACAAGGGTATCGCTACTAGGAGCAAGGACGCCACTAGATGCTACCAGTAGCTCCTGGCCTTACTATACATCCCTACCCCCTTAGGTCCACTTCTGGGGGGGGGACCTAGAAACATGTAACTTACAATTTCCGGGGGACCCCATAAATGTATGTTGACCCCGCCCTCGTTTTGGGCCCTACTTATTCAAGTAGAGGCCATATTCATGGTCCCCCCCCCCCCTCCCAGATTTTTGTTGCTGTGTCTGGGTATGTCCCTGCGTGCGTGTTCCTGGGAATTCTCCAGGAAATGAGGTGGTGGCTGGTGTGTGTCAGTTAGAAATTTTAGGGGGGGCTGGAGAAAATGCAACTTACCACGTCCCACGTCCCACGTCCTAACAAACCCAAAAAATGTAAGCTACGTTTGTTTAGGATATGAAAAACAAATGTAGCTAACATTTTTTTAGGACTTACAGGAAAAATGTAAGCTTACATTTTTTAGGTTCACTTTGCATACCCCCCCCCAGGGAAAATGTAACTTACATTTTTTTAAATCCTCCCCTATTAATATGTAGGGATCTTGCTACTAGTAACAAGAAGCTACTAGTAACAAGTCGCTTCTCAGGTATCGGCATTGCAGCCTCCTGCTTTGCTGAAGCAAGGCTGTTCTCCTTGTCGCGGCCTTGATGTACTGGGTGGTTGGGTTAAGTGGTATCGTCTCATAGAAAGTCGTCCCTGTGGTTTTGCTGTTGGAGGTTTGGCATATTTTGTGGTGTGTTCGG